TTTATAAAAACAAAATGTATCTATCATCTATCCATCCATCTGCCCACCCACCCACCCACCCCCCTACCTGCCTACCATATGAAGTTTCTAACGTCGTTTGAATTTGAAATACGTATTTTATAAAATGATCTGGGAACAACGAGGGCTGATTTTTTGAATATTCTCTTCTCAACCTTAGCACACGCTGTCACTTTAATTTGGCATCCTTCGAGATAGAGTTCCAATCTGACTTTTGCCAGGAGCCTTTCTAGACCATCCTAGCCATGTGTGATTCCCTATTTGTAAACTGTATCTTCGTATGGTTCTTACCGTAACATGCTGCTTTTTAAAAATCTATAGCCTTTATCCTCAGTTTATATCCTTCCTGAGGGAAAACAGGATTTTCCTTCTTTATTTCCCTAGCACAAGCCTCAGTGCCATTCATTAGTGTTCTATCAATAAATATTTGCTAATGGATTTATTCAGAAATAGGAGTATGGTAGTGGTGTGCTAGTGAATGCATAGTTATTAATACAGAGTTAAATTTTAAAGAAGTTCAAGTCTTAATTTCTATGCGGTAATGAAATATGTAGGCATAGATGATTGTGGAATCACAGATGTTTAGCTCTGGCTGGATTCTTATAAATTGACAAGTGCAAGTCTATTTTTTTTTTTTTACACGAGGAAATCAGTGTTCTGCAGGGCACTCAGCTACCTGAAAAAAAGGAATCATTTACTTAAACATTTCATTGCATACCTAAAGCAATAGTTTTAGTTGTCTTTGCATTTTTTGTAGCACCTGGTTCACATACAATAGGCACCCAAATGTCAGGTGAATGGATTGCTTCATGGAAATTGCTTTCTAGAAGTGGATATTTAGAACCAGACCACGAATGGACAGCCCACGCCTTCAGCTCCTCACATGCTCCATGAAGGGGAACCACCACCCACCGCTGTCCCGTTAGCTCATTTTGCTGGATCTCCCTTGTTTCAGATAGAATTCGTGTTTCCTGTTCGTTCCAGATTTTTCTCTGAGCACCTGCCTAAGCACGTGGATACTGGCTCTTCTTTCTGACTCCTACTGCGTGTGCTAAAAACCCAATTCTACTGTATCCTTGCTGAATTTGTAATCAGATCTGCCTGTCTAAGAGAAGATGTATGCTTTTACTTTCCTTTTCAGAAACCACGGATGATTTGATTCATTGGTCTGGAAAGGCGAAAACAGTGGACACCAGACAGAGACGGGTTTTCTCTTGGCCAATCACTACAAGGGACTCCTCAATCTCCATTTAGATTGCTCATCCTCATTTTTTATTTTCCAAGTCATAGAAACAAAAGTGAGATATTAGAGACAGGATTTAATTCTCCAGCATCCTAAGCCCCCAGTTCTAACACAAGGGGTGAGGGGGAAAACCCAAGTACCTCCAGGCAGCAATAGTGCTAGTCAGTTGCTTTCTGTGTATTTGGGGTGTAAACCAAGCACCATGGCTTGGACTTATTCTCTTGGCTACATGAGACCCTTGTTCCTTCAGATGTGGTGTTCCTGGAACACAGACTGACTCAGAGTAAAGATCGAACAGAACAGAATTTTAAAATTTTTGATCTAGGCAACCCGGGTGGCTCAGCGGTTTAGCGCCGACTTCAGCCCAGGGTATGATCCTGAAGACCCAGGATCGAGTGTTTCTCCCTCCTCCTGTGTCTCTGCCTCTCTCTCTCTGTGTGTGTCTCTCATGAATAAATAAATAAATAAAATCTTAAAAAAAATAGAATAAAATTTCTGATCTAAACCTTACTATTTTGCAGATAAAGCTGAGACTCAGAGAAGTTATTTGTTTTAAGGTGATTCATTTGGATAGTGACAGATCTGGGACTAACCTGGCTGTGCTGTCTTTTTCACGGCAGCTGACTTTTGGCTAACTGTCTCACTCTTTTCCTTCTTTTACTTACTTTTTTACTTTTATCTGATATGTGGAGTGATTTCATGCCCATGGAGATGACCAATCTTGCAGCTGAGCCTCAAAGTTCTTTGAATCCTTCATATGTAGTTACTTTTGCTCTGATCACACTTCCATCACCGCCTCCTATGGATCTTATCACTAACTGTCACATGTCTGAAATATCTCCATCTCTAAGCACAGCTTTCACTTCTCTCATATGCATTTCATTTCGGCTCCCTTTAAAGGCATAGACTTTACCTTTCTTCCTCTGTTTTCTCCTGGCCAGCCTCCTCTGTGTTTTTGTCTTCCCTGCTCAGGTTCAATTCCATGATTCATCTAGTTAGCCAGTCTTTACTAACTAATGTCCACAGTGCTCTTTATTTATTGCTTTTCTTTGCACTTATCTGACAAAAATCCAACTGAATATATTGGCTTTCTCCATGCTTCTATCATGGCTGAGATAAGCCAATGGAGGAAATCCCACACTCTGGGCTAATTGATGCCTCTACAATAGTGGTTTTCAAAGTGTGGTCCCTAGATGGGCAACATCAGCATGACTGGGAGCTTGTTAGAAATGCGAGGTCCCAGACTCACTCAGCATACTGCATCAGAAACTCTTGCAATGAAATACAACAATCTGTATTTTAACAAGTTCTCTAGGAAATCCTGATATACCCTAATGTTTGAAAAATACTACTGTATGAAACCTTTGTCTTTAACCTCAATTGGCTATTAACAGTAGCTGCCAATCTTCATATGCTTTCTAAATTAGTGATCCCCTAAATTTTACATACTGGCTTCTTTAAATCTCCATTCTCCTCCAATCTGTGGTCCTGCCTGTCTCTCCTCACTCTCTAGAGACTATCCCCCTCTGACTTAGAGTTTGTGCTTGAACTCCCTCAAACAATGCCACCAAATCCTCAGGCATATTGTAGCTAGTTACCATGGAAGAGTGTTCCTCTTCCTGTTGAAGGCCAGCCCCATACACCTGTGCTCTACATTCCTTTCCCTTCATCATCAGGAATTTTCTCCCTTTCTCTTCATTAAGTTCTCTCTCTCTACTGGCATCTCTCACCCAATCTCATCACAATTTACATTCATACACTTGGGGACTTGGAAGGGTCATAAAAAGCGCTATAGGATTTTAAGCAAGGGAGTAACATTATCTGATGTATAGTTAATAAAGATTTTTATCTTTCTTGTGTGGAAAATGGATTTCATGAGCTGAACCAAGAAAATCAGTTTGGCTGTAGTGGAGATGTAAGTAGCTTTGGGTTATGATTTGGAAGTAGAATTAATGGGGGAGGGTGGAGAGAATCAAAGGTAATCCTAGCCTTCCTGGTTTTAACAACTGTGTGGATAATGAAGTTGTTTACTGGAATGAGTAAGACTGGGAAGGGATAAGATGACTGGAAAAAAACCAAGAATGTTTTGGTCATGTTGAGTTTCAACTGTTTATTGGAGGAAATCTATGAAGAGATAGGCATCTAAATGCTCAAGATGGAATTCCAGGAAGAAATTAGTAATACAAATTTAAATTTAGGAATCTTTGGCCTATAGGTGACATTTAATGCTGTTATTTAATGACATCAACCTGGAAAAGTGTAGAAAAAGAAGGTACCCTATGACAAAGCCCTGGGCTACTCTAATATTTAAAATGAGACTATGGAGTGAAAGTTTCTAACATAGGAAAATGAGAATGAGCAGTTGGTTATGGAAGGAGAATTCTGAGAAATTCTCCTAATCAATTCTTAGCCAGATTCTGCTGGGAAGTAAATGACAATACGAAGAGGTAACCATTGGAAATGGCAACGCAGATGGCTCCAGAGACCTTGGCATAAGCACTCACAATAGAATGGTAGAAACAGAAATCTGATTAGAATGGGCTGAGGAAATTAAGTTATTGAACTAAAGTCCAGCTTGAGGAAAAGCTGAAAGATCTGTCAGTACTTCACTCTAGTCCCTGCTTAATAGATTCCTGAAATCAAAACCATCCTTAAAAGGGACAAGTCCTTCTAACTGATGCCGACTTTTGGAGAATTAAGGGTGGTTATTAAAGACTCTAACGACTATGTGAAAAGTTTAAATGAGGTCCCATACAATTTAAACAGAATTGGAATGTTAAAAATCAATATAGGGTTTCCTAAATGAAACTATTGATCGGGTGGTTACCATACCAAAACAACAAACACCATCACAAAGTTAGTTAAGCAACAATAGGTATTATAACAAATTGGAATCTGATACTACCTGGAATAAGTCAAGTTTAATATGATCAGTCCACAGATATTTGAGAGTTGGCAACACACACACACACACACACACACACACACACACACTCACATTTTCCCTCTTATCATTTTTATTAGTCAAACCCTTTAAGATAGTATATTTAATTTCATGGATGATAAAATATGAGAGATTGCATCTTCATCAGCATATATTTACCAAGTCTCTGGTGTATGTATATAGGAAAGGATATCAGAAATGAATACTATTTTTATCACAACATTAGGAAAATGAAGCATATAAAGAATCTAGTCTTGGCTAAATCCCCAGCTCATAAAAAAGGGCTACCAAATGCACCAAGGATGGTGAACTGGCCATATATGAAGGGTCATCTTAGTCTGCTGACTATAGAAACAACTGTTGGCCATACAGCTAGTAAAGATAATTGTCATCACTGAATGCACTATTTAATAAGAGAGGGAGTCATGTATCTTCCACTAGATGGTCATTTGTTGCCAGGATATTATAACCACATAGAGTTCACATATAACTGCTCATGCAAGATTTCTTCCAAGATGGAGCATTTGGGAAAGACAATCTTTCATTGCACTTTAAATATAATTAATCTCAAATGTAATATTTCAATGGGCCATTCATTTACTCTGTCATATTTTAAGTTAGCAGAAATGTATTGAGCACTTATTATGTGCAAAGCACTGTACTGATGTTGCCTTACATATATGCATATAATAAAGAACTAAGCTCCAAATATTTAATCTTTATTTTAGAATGAATGAGCTGCTGACATGCTGGTGCTGTTATCAAAGGATGTGAACACCAAATGTTAGGTCCTACCAGCTCATGACCCCCATCTTCATCGAAGTCCTCCTCTATCCCATCAGTCATTTCTTCTCCATCCGCATCTGGCCCTCCTTCAGCAGGCTCCTCTGTAGAGTGATCTGCATTCTCTGACACACATTCATCTTGGATCAGCTCTATACTCTCTTCCAATTGCTTCTTCTGAGCTTCTGGGGGGGGAGAAAGCAAATGACTACTACCTTGGGTTGCTCATGAGCCATCTGGATAAACTATGAAAAGACAGTCTATGAAAGGCTAAACTCTGTGTGAGGAAGATAAGGTAATATAATATTCTAGATGAATTAATTTATTCAGTCAGGTAAATTATGTACCTATACCTATGTGCATTTTCATGTAAGTAAATTTATTTTTAAACGGAATCATCAAAAATTAGGAAGTCCAGATGGTACTAGTATATAAAGAAATAAAGATTTACATATTAAGTAGATGGATCTTCCCGGCTATATATATTCTTTTCTAATAGGGACATTCTCTCTGAGGGAAAAAATACAGCAAAAACAAAGGGCAAAAATCACATAAAACATAGAGCTTGTTCACTCAAGGAGGAAAGATGAAGAAAGCTCACTGACAAGTCCAAATCTAAGTGAAAAAGACAAAAATTCACTGAGGGAAAAAAAGTACAAAAGCACACGTGTTGTCTTTCAGACAACTTGTCTACGTGAACAATACTCTGACATATTAGAGTCTAAATTCTGTTGGCAGATGTAGTTAACTACAACGGTTGAGAATAAAATTCTGGTGTTACATTTACTGGCTTTGTGATGCAAAGCCAAAATGGTTAACCCTCCTTGTGCCTTAAGTTTTCTCATCCATACAATTAGGATAACTACTTAACTTCCAGGGTTTGGAATAGGAAATCAATGAGTGTAGTAGAGTTATTTGCAAATAATAAGTGCTCAACAAATGAAGCTACATCCTACATTAATAGAATCCCTCTAATTACCAGGGTGTGCGCATTCAATTTACAGAAATTCGCCCAGATGGGAATTATGCTGACAACATAATAATTATTTCCCCTAGTGGTTGGTTTTCATTTCCTGTGAAAATATCAAGAAGCAGTAGGTACTGAATAAACGAGATCATTTAATGTACCTCCTTCTCTAACTTGCTCCTATGTATAACGTGGCTATCTCAAAAGCTGTGTGGTTTGCACTCATTTTGGTTATTATTTTACCAATTATCCCATTATTTGAGTTTTAAGAGATGCTACATTTTAAGTTATTTATTTATGTTTTATGGCATTAAAGGTCATTGATAGAGCCAAATAAATTGAGGCTTTCCTAGTCTTTTTCATAATGTGAGTTACAAAGAAAGTAAGCATTGATGTACATATATTTTGACTCGGCATAAATCTTTTCAAATACAACTAACGTATAAATCAATAAACTGGTAAAAAATGATATATAAATAAGCATGTATCCTCTTCTATAAATTGTTTAAAATTTGAATAAATGTTACTCATATAAATACATGTGTTCTTGTATTTTAATTCTCCAAATAATAAAGTTTATGTATTGAAAATAAGGCAGAAGGATAGGGTTGTGCCCTGACCCTGCTGTCAGAGGACAGGATTCTAGTTCCAGTTTAGCTACTTACCAGTGGAATCATGAGCACTTGGACTGAGTCTGTTTTGGCCACTTGGTCAAGACATTTAAACACATTAGGTCAACCTTTCTTCCTCTATATAAAAGCTTTCATGAGAATACCTACCTCTGGGGTTTGCTGTGAGGATTAACAGAGTTTATACTTGGGAAATGTTCTGCACACTCCAAAGGACTACGTGAATGTGCAACAGTACAGAAAAGGAGACTGCACACTCTTCAGCGTGAATAGGTGAAGATAACAACAACAGTAAGCATGAAGCAGGAGGCATGGTCCGATTAGGGAATAACAGTGAAAAACTTGTGGGGCTGAAGCTCCATTTCAGAGGAGAAGAAGGGCTGGTGGTTCCAAAAAGGCTAAAAGTAATTAATGACACGCATCTTAAAATGACAAAACCTAGGCTCTTTTACTTCACATTTACTTTTCACATATAGATCCAGCCCATGCATTCCGAGATGTTTTCCTATCAACTTGTTTCTGTTTTCTCCACTGAACAACATAACTAATGTTAGTGGTGATGCATATTCTAATTTTAAAGCTACATTATTTATCTTTGTAAATGTGAGTGTCCACATGAAAGCAAATAGCGTAAATTCCCTTTTCTCTGATGTCTACATTGCTTTTAGCATAGGAAGTCCTGTGAAGACTCTAAAGTGATTATTGTCAAACTTAACCAAAAAAGTCTAATCTGGAGAAGATGATCCAAGTATCTGGATTAAAAGGGAGGCAAATCGGAAAAAAAAAATAAAATAAATAAAAGGCAGACGAACCAGGCAAGAGATACAGACCAAACGTGTGCTGAACTTAAGTGTTACTGAAAATTGCTAGGTTTTATTCATCTCACCTTCCTTCTACATATCAGCTCCCTCTACAGTTTTTTTTAAAGATTTTATTTATTTATTCATGAGAGACACAGAGAGAGAGGCAGAGACACAGGCAGAGGGAGAAGCAGGCTCCATGTAGGGAGCCTGATGTGGGACTCCATCCCAGGACTCCGGGATCACGCCCTGGGCCAAAGGTAGGCGCTAAACCACAGAGCCACCCAGGGATCCCTACAGTTCTTGACCTTTAACCATACCTACACACCTATAACCAGGACCGACGGAGAAAAAGCTGTGATGATCAGACTAGTCTGAGCACTGAAGAAGTTTTGAATCTTCTGAGGTTAATCACATCCTATGCTCTACCCTCTAGTCTCTACTACCACTGACCCCGTGGGCAGCACAATGTTATTTAGCAACTCTGCTTTTTGACCCTTCAGTCTTTCTCCTAAGAGTGATTTTTGTATTTATCACTTGGCCCCTCCCTTTTTGCCATTCTAGGTCACCATGCTACTTGTTCAAAATACTATTGCTCAGGGTGCCTGTGTGGCTCAAGTGGTTACGCATCTGCCTTCTGCTCAGGTCATGATCCCGGGATCCTGGAACTGAGCCCCATGTCTGGCTCCCTGCCCAGTGGGGAGTCTGCTTCTCCCTCTGCCCCTCACTCTGCTCATCCTTTCTCTCTCCCAAATAAATAAAATCTTAAAAAAAATACCATTGTTCTCATGACCTGGTTCTAGTATTTAGACGATGAGAGAAGAATGGATGTTTGGGATTGGACAATTATTATCCTATACAGAATAAATGTACAGGAAAATTTTTACAGGAAAAATGTCTTGAGTCCTACAACTTTTCCTGAAGCCAGACTTTCTCAATTTTAGGTCGTTATGTTTATTTTTTGTTATAATACACAACTGTATTTTTGCTTAGGATTAATATTATTTTGGAAATTCATTTGATATGACATATACATTTCTTCTCTAATGATTTCAGAAATATTTTTTTCTCTGGGAACCCTTATGTTTTAATGTTGAAAGTAATATTCTGCCCCCCCCCTCTGGAAAATCTTTGATCAAAGAAGCATGGAAGATTTTCAGAGAGCTCATGTAGGATCAGAACTTAAAAGATGAGTAGCCCTCATTTGGCTTTGTATATCAATTTGTTGGAGTTATGTTTGTAATCCTAGCTGATTCTCCTGATCTTCCTACCTGAATGAAATCCCTTCTTTCCTGAGCAACAAAGGCCCAGATCAAATGCTGTGTTAGAGTCAGTCTACTGTTGTTTTACCTTTTTTTCCAGGGGGCTAAAGTTTCCTTAATATTTGAGCTATTGTCTCAAAAGGTCATTGTCACAAAGAGGATAATATAGAGATTAATCTTCTGTAAAGTGAAAAATGCAATACAGGTCAGTTATCAAGAAATAGTTTGATTTGCTCTGTACCTCTTACGGAGTTCCTTATACACAGAAGAGATAATATAAGGATATAGGATTTGTGATCCATAATTCTGTTTATTACTAGTCCTATTAATTATAGCTTTCTTCTCTAAAAGATGAGCATGAAAATAAAATCTTTCCGAGAGTTGCTGTGTACTCAAATGAGGAAAAAGAGGTGAATGTGTTTTCTAAAGTGTAAAGGCCACATAAACATGTTATCATACAGGCTCAAAAATAGTTCTTGAGTTGGATCTGTATTGATTATTTGATTAATCAAATCAAATAATTTGATTTCTTCTTATTGAAGACAAACAGTTTATGTCAAAATCATTCATCACTTCTGATCATTAAGAATCATACATTACAAAGACAATTTTGGCTTCATTTCGGTTTAGATAGACATAGTGTTTTAAGTTATTCTCTGCTTTTTTTGTGTATGTTATACAATATACATGTAACTCCTCTGACAGCCTATTTCAAAGGCAACGGTGTATTAAAGTTCGATGCAAAAAACCTTAGGACTTATCCTCATTCATCCATTCATTAACTTGAAAGCTAAATGCATGGAAGACATTATCTGGTTTGAGAAAAAAACCCTTTAATTACAATGGTAGTCAATTCATAGCAGTTTAACAGAAATACAGTCAACCTGTGCTTCAGTAATGTGTAGTCATCATAGATTTTTGTCATTGCCTCAGTGAGAAATGTTATAATCACTAAACGATGAGAGTTTCCAGGAATAAACTCACACAAGAAAGCACATCTTGTTTATTAAACTGTTGGTTCACAGTTTAACAAGCAGTTCTAGGCCAGTAATTATCTTGTTAAAATAGAAAGAAAGCAACTTGTTCTATTTTTTAAGAATGGTTAACTAATTTTACTTCTACTAGAAATGAGTAATATTTTTTAGTTTAATCCTGACTTTGTAACATTCTCCTTTACCTGCATAATTCTTTGTCTACTTATCACTTTTCATTTTTATTGTGAATGTTGAGTTCATACATGGTATGTATGTGTGGGCATGCACACTTATGTCTCTACTTCTAAATTTCTTTGAGGTAGAAACATTTTTGTTCATCTTTGTAGACCTAACGGCTAACTGAGAGCCTTACACGGCAAATGAAATATTTGCTGACTATATTCACGAATTGTTGTGGAACTAAAAAATGAAAATAAATGTCTAAGTGTCAAATTCTTTCCATAGAGTCAAATTTGGCACCATGGTAGCAAAAATATGAAGTCACAGAAGTTAAAAGAAATATCCTTGCCACATTTTAAATGAGAGCCCCATA